TTTGCACTGCATTATGGCCACTAGAAAAAGTCAAAGTCAGATGTTCGCAGAGAGAACAGCTCTGCAAACTTTTTATAAATTTACTTCTTAGACTTGAATGCTGAAAAATAAATACAAAGCTTTTGAGGATGCTATGACTGTGGCAGAGATGACCTCCACAACACTGGCTGGAATAGTAGGTCGATAGAAAGGCCAATGCATTATTTCAGTTGCTAGGTGAAGGTGTGAAAAAAGTGAAATGCTGGTGTTGACTTTATTTATCAATACAAGTGCACACACATTTATTCACAGAGCAGATATCTGAGCATGATATATTAGAAGAAGTGGAGACACATGACTTCTTATTCCACAATACACATTGATTAATCGAGGTAAGCCTAAACACTGCCTGCCATGCCTCTCTCTGGTACACATTCCTTCTGGGTGTCACATGGAGATGATAAATTATCTTACTAGCATGTCACATGGGAAAAGAAACAAGTCAGACAGTAATCAGAAATATGATCTCTAATACAAATGAGATTTAAAATGATAGCATTAAAAAATATATAAAATAGATTATTTCTTTAAACTGTAATACAGGTAAATCAGAGATAGTGTACCAAGAACATCGCTGCCATCTATAAATTGTTATGTGTACATAACTGTTATGGCGGCAGCCATTTTGTATGTGCTTGAAATATAACCTGTCAAATTACTACTATGGTTAGAATACATAGACACTTCACAAAAATCTATTCTAATGAATGTAACGAGGATCTTAAACCAGGTCTCCACTGCTCTAGCAACATGAAGTCTTCAGATATTTTTATAGAAAATAGATTAGGAAAGGGTTTGCTGCCCGCCAGGTCTTTAGGACTCCTGTCAAAGTGACACTAAACTCAGGAGTTAAAGGAGAACTATGAGGTGAGTGATTTTCACTTATCCTCATAGTTCTAGCCGACCTGTGACAATGAGACTGTCACAGGTCGGCTCAGTAGATCGGGAAGTGAGCGAACACATACCGGCGCTCGCTCACTTCTCGATCCTGTCACTGCAGAGAGCCGTGACAGGGGAGGGACTGGATTCCCCCCTCCCCGCACCGATCTTCCAGCGCTGACTGTCGGAACGGACGGGGGAGGGGGCGGGCACAGCTGGCTCTGCCTGTAAATAGGCAGAGCCAGCTGTCACTCACGCAGCTGGGTGGATCCAGACATAATTATTTCAGCTCGCGATATACTGAGCTTTGGGTGACGGGAGGACGCTAGTTTGTGTCCTCCCGTTACCCTTAGGAGAACTATGGGGAAAAGCCCTAACTCCATAGTTCTCCTTTAAATCTTAAAAATGCATCCAGGTACCGTAACTATTATCAAGCATGCATCTTATTTGTGTATCTCTCAGCTGTAGATCCTCAAATCATCTCTCAATTGGTGCTGACGTTGTCCTTCCTTCTGGAGGGTGGCTACTTTTGTTCCCCATGGTCCCTGGGTGTGTTGTAAAGTAGCTACAGCTCCAAGCTCACTCATGTGATGGACTACAAACTCAATACAAATTAGTAAACTAAACTTGAGATTGTAATCCATCACGGGAGAGAGCTTGGCGTGGTGGCTACTTTGCAACACACCCTCCAGAAGGAAGGACAGTGTCAGCATAAATTCAGAGATGATTTGAGGATCTACAGCTGAGTGATGCCCAAATAAGTTAAATTTTTGTTAATAGGTAAGGTACCTATTGCACCTGCCTGAATGCATTTATAAGATTTAACTCCTGAGTTTAGGGTCACTTTAAAGGCTAAGCTCAAGGATTCAGTCAAGCTTCTGCTATCATGTGTATATTGCTATAGTGATCCACTTGGGGTCAGGTGCTACAACAGCTTTGTGTCCTACGACCTCTAGCGGAAAATCAGTTTTAGCTCAGAAGACACAGGTGACAATTCCAGGTATACCAATCACACTTGCACTTGGATTTTGGAGTGAACTCTCCATTGGAGTCAACTCTCCACTGCTCTACTATGGGAAGCATTTGACTTTAAACACACTGTAATATGGCATTTCTATCTTTGCAGTCATTCAGAGACCTGCTGATGTAAAGACTGAATGGAAACTTGAACATACGTTATAAAATGAAAGATACCAAATGCATTGTACAATCAAGAACAATAGATCTTGCAATTCTGTAGCTAAATAACAATAAAAATACTGGACCTGGACCAATTGTTAATAATATAAGAGACATCAGCAATATGTTAATGAAACTATTTAATGTTTTCTTTCTATGCAAAACAGTTTTGTTAATCAAAAATCCTTTATTTTGTCTAAATGTACACTGTTTATAATATATGTATTATATAGTTTTAATAATGTACCTGTTACGTAATGATATAGGGGCAGCAATTTCTTGGCTGGGCCAAAGTCAAGAGAATCCAGCCAATCATCTCACATGGAGTTAGTGACATCAGAACACCAGATAGGTTGTATCTCGATGAATGTTACTCCAGCTCATCTAAGTTGATTGGCTAAAAATTTTGAGAAATTTCATTCCAAATATTGTGTGAATAATTTTACTTCAATTATTCATTCATGTGAAAAGCAAATTGCTGATTACTTTGAATGTCCAATTATGTGCAGACACTTTTCACATGGATGGATAACTGATGTCAAGTTTCACATGATTTGTTGTTACGATTCTCAATTCTTTTAGTAAATCAGTCCATTATATGGCTAACCCACCTACATTTATATAGAAATCATGCTCACTTTTAAAAAAAAAAGGTTTAAAAAGGACAGGTATGGTATTAATGATTATATCCGTTTAAAGGAAACCTGTACTGTTAGAAATACATGGGCCGCCATTACTAAATTTCTTGAAAAATGCTAGTTGGCGGGGTGCTTTCGGCTTCTCTGAGTCACTGTCTTGGAACAGCCAACTTCTAAACTTCTGAGCAGCACACTTCTTCCAGATAAGTCCCGGAGTATGGCTGCTAAGCAGCTAGCATTTTAAGAAGAAGAGGTTAGCAACACCACAGATGTTTTTTACTAGAATATGTATTTCATAAAAGTACGACTGGTCATAAAAAACTTTAAAATCATTTTGTAAGTTTTGTAATACTTTTTCGTCGTGTTTGGCATTAAATGAAGTAAGTTCTGTAACGTCTGCTGCAACTGCACTCTGTAATGTCCTGACCATCATTAACACCACAATCTTATTCTATATGGAAAACGACATGCAGTGACCAATTAAAATGTATTCACCAGGTTTAGGACTAAACTCCAGGCAAGTAGAGTAATACACAAATTAAATACATATATGTGTTTTGTTTCACCTGAAAAAAAGAAATTGCATTTCTGTGTAGAAAGTTTTCTGATCCAGACACCCTGTCAAGCAGCCCAGTGGGGTCCTAGACTTCCACTTACAGCAGCGGCATAGTTTGGTTAAGATTACACCTCAGCTACTATTTGGATAAGAAGCATCAGCACACTGATGAGTTCTTCCCTCTGCTCCACTCTCACTTTCCAATCAGAAGGCTGAATTGGACAGAGGACACAACTGTATACCTTCCAAAGTCTAAAATTGCAACTGGCTGCACAGGACTGTAAAAATCTCAGGAATGGGTGATTAGAAATACAAATCCTTTGGCAGGTAAGCAAGTTGAAATATGTGTATTGTATCTGTGTATTTAGGTGTGTGCCTAGAGTTTAGTTTCAACTCTTAAGTTAGACAAGACAGATCACATACAGCATGTGTATTTCAATAGTACATTTAGCTGTTTGCCTGGAGTTCAGCTTTAACTGCTGAAAACTAATTTGTAATATGACTTTTTTGATAAGACATTTTAAAGACCGATTATGATTCAAAATAAAGTAATTAATAGCAAACAATTCAATTTGACAGCAATAAAGCAAAATTGATTTCTACAGGGTCCTAGACTAAACCTCAAAATTGCTCCTTGCACTGCCCTCTGAATAAGTATGTATAATATTCAAGAATTTACTAAAGGAGTAATAACATTGTAAATAACGCGTCGCTGTGTTCACTTCAATCAGCTAATCATCTTGCACAATAGGGTATTAAAAGTAGTGATGAGGCTGGGCTTGATGCGAACCCAGTTCACCTGAGCTTGCCCAATCCCGCTTAAAACTGTGACTTCCACTCCCCACTCCCAGCTCATTTAGTGACGGCAGTTGCAACAGGGGCATTCCCCACCCCTTTGTTACATATAGCTGCGGTGAGAGGAATGCGCCTCTTCAAAATGAATTGGGCTGGGAGGAGGGGTAACAGTCACAGTTTTAAGCAGTCTTGGGTGAATTCAGGTGAACTGGGTTCAAACCAAGCCCAGGCTCATCACTAATTAAAAGTGAACACAGCTTTACCTTATTTACTTTGCCTTTAGCTCTGCAGTTTTTCATTACTGAAGAGCCCATGCTAAAATACAAAAAAAGCAATAATAAATATGCAGCATCCCATAGTAACCCAACTGAATTTGGGGTGCATTTATAAAGCAGTATTATGGACTTGCTCCAGCTTGGCCTGCTAAAATGTAAAAAAAAAAACAAACATACAGAAAACCCAGAACATTTATTAATCATGAGTAGAGTAATTCATGAGTAGTTTGCTTTGCAAAAGTGCTTAGCATTTTTCTTCAGCGCGCCAAAGAAAGCAAAGCCCCATTCATATCAATGACTAGAGACAAAACAAAAAAAGGCCAAGAGAAGGGAAACCCAGTCACATGATCTGTCAAAGTCATGTAACCAAATATCTCCTCCAAACACTCTTTGTTATCTGCAGTGTTTTGCAGAATTAGTTATAAAATGTGGGCGCAGTATGGAGGAAATACTGCGGAATCCAGTGTGAGCGGATAGCAATATCCACTCTCCAGTATGAATAGGCCCCTACGGGTTAATCACATCACATCTCATCATCTAATTAAGTTGAAGGCATTTGTCAAGTAATTATTTTGATGACTTTATGGTTTATATATTCAATGTGTTCTGTAAATTGCTTAGAGTAAATATTACACTTACTTCGGTCCAGCGACCCTTTCGGTGGGAGTTGCGGCAGCTGACGACCTCTGCGTCCTGCTAACGGTGTGCCTGACGGGCTTGTTTGAACAGAGCCAGTACGAGGATGTGCCCTACAAAACAAGTGTTTAGATAAGGCGCACAGCATTAAAATCTACTGAGTAAATTTCCAGACTAGCTGTTTTCCAGTTAAAATGTGAATAATGTTAGTCAGCATTACTTAAAGGATAAGTCCACCAAAAGCAGATGGCTTAGTTAGAGTCAAAGTCAGAGGGATGAGTCACCCACTGGATTTTTTTATATTTTTCAGGGATTCCAGTCACTATATCTTATTGCCAATGACTTTTGGCTCTGCCTCCCTCCATACAATGGAGGGTGGTCCTGGGAACTGAAGTGCAGAAATACTTCAGCTGGAGTCCTAGAGTACAGATAGAACAACCCAGTAGGTGATTTGACTAGCTGCCAGCCATCTAAAACTGAAATAGGATTTTTGGGCAAACTAACCCTTTAAGTCACTGATGAATCCAATGATGCAGAAGGATATGTCCATGGTCAAACAAACTACTGATATACATATATCATTTTAACTCTTATAGTGACATTGGCACAATTAAAGCACTGCAAGTGACACAGTAAACAGATAAGAGATAAGGTTGACATGTCAGCATAATATCGGATTGATACAATGAAGACAATTCCATCACACAGGTTAATACTTAATATTACTGGAAAAAAAAAAGCTGTTATGGCACATGATGGAGAAAAAAAATTAATAGATTTGTTAACATGGTGAATACAGTGGTGACACAGAATAACCATTATAAATCACATCAAGTATATTAACGGAAGAGTGCCCTCTGCATTATATTTAAGGTGAAAGAAGTATGTGCATTTAAAAATGTAAAAGGTAAATAAGCAGTATATATATATATATATAATCATTTTAATGCAAATAATCCTATCACTGTGTTTTAATGATTTAGGTATAGTCTGTAAATATACAAGTAATGCATTCCAGTTCGGGTATTTTTTTCCTGCAGTGCAATCATTCATATGTTTATTTACACATTGCAGGACCTAACACTGAGGTACCATTTAAGAGTGTCAAACCCATTTGTTAAGTCAGGGCTTAAAAAAGGGAGACACTACAGAGTTTTTTCAATGTAAAGTAAACATTTGTGGTAATGACACTGAAGAATGAAGCTTCATTCACACAAGCAGTGTACCTTAGTTATTCTGCAGTATGCAAAAACAAATATGCCATTGGGAATGTATGCCGTATTTTATATTTATTAAATCTATCTTTAAATGGGGAAATGAAATATCAGTTGCAGCCAGTTGACCTGTCTGGATTAAAGGAGAACTATGAGGTGAGTGCTTTTCACTCACCTCATAGTTCTAGCCGACCTGTGACAATGAGACTGTCACAGGTCGGCTCAGTAGATCGGGAAGAGAGCGAACAAATACCGGCGTTCGCTCACTTCTCGATCCTGTCACAGCTCTCTGCTGTGACAGGGGAGGGGCTGGATTCCCCCCTCCCCGCTCCTCCAGCGCTAACTGGTGGAACGGACGTGGGAGGGGGCTTGTACAGCTGGCTCTGCCTCTATATAGGCAGAGCCAGCTGTCACTCACGCAGCTGGGCGGATCCAGACATAATTGTCGGGATCCGCCTCAGCTGCTGCGTCTCAGTATACTGTGAGCTGTAGCTCGCGGTATACTGTGGCGTCTCAGTATACCGCGAGCTGCAGCTCGCGGTATACTGAGCTTAGGGTGACGGGAGGACGCTAGTTTGTGTCCTCCCGTTACCCTAAGGAAAACTATGGGGAAAAGCCCTAACCCCATAGTTCTCCTTTAATCCTTTTTAACAGACCAGAAACAAACATGCAGGCAATGCTGGGCTTTCACATTAGCAAGCCTAACATTCTCTGCAAAGTAAGTGCTATGACTGTACCTTACTATATATATATATATATGATTTGGTTTGTTGCCACTTAGTAATTAGTGTATATAAAGGTTACGCAGAAACCTAAAGTGGGTAATATTTCCCTTGAAAATTTTATATTGAACGTTAAAAAAAACTTTTCGAGGCTGCTACATGAAGGTTGGTCAGACCTAGAAATTGTTCATATTGTAAATTAAATAACCTGTTTAAAGCCCTGTTCAAGCTTTGTCAAAGCTGCATAAACAGTACAAATTGCAGGCTTCTTTTTTCTTAACAGTCCTATTTGCTGCAGAAAGGGTTAAAATGCAGCATGCTAGAGAGGCAGGACTGCTTCTCAACACAGAGCAGCGGTCCCCCTCCTGTGCTCCTAACAACAATGCTTCTCAGGTAGTGCTGACTAGAGTACTGGACAGAGAGGTGATGGACTGCTGGACGCTTAAAGTGACACTAAACTCGGGAGTTAAATCTTAAAAATGCATTGACGAACCCTAACCATTACCAAAAATGTGGTAAATACTGTGGTAAATCTAATTTGTGTATCACTCGGCTGTAGATCCTCAAATCATCTCTGAATTGGTGCTGACACTGTCCTTCCTACTGCAGGGTGGCTACTTGGTTCCACATGGTCAATGTGTGTTTTGTTAAGTAGCCACCGCTCCAAGCTCACTCCTGTGATGGACTACAATCTCACGTTTAGTTTACGAATTTGTATTGAGATTGTAGTCCATCATGGGAGCGAGTTTAGATAAGTGGCTACTTTACAACACACACAGGGACCATGGGGAACAAAAGTAGTGACCCTCCAGAAGGAAGGACAGTGTCAGCACCAATTCAGAGAGGATTTGAGGATCTATAGCCGAGTGATACACAAATAAGGTACAGTATTGTTAATAGTTAAGGTACTTGAATACATCTTTAATATTCAACTCCTGAGTTTAGTGTTATTTAAAATTCTAACATCATTTTAGAGGCTCATTGGGTTACAAACTGGACATGTGAATGTGTAACATTCCAGGTTTTAAAAATTGCCAGTCTAAAGTTGGTGACATATGTTACAATCTGACAGTGCAATCTTCTAGATTTACCAACAATTATGTTTTGCAAGGGAATACCTAATTAAATACAAATTAAATTATTATTTAGGTTCTCGTACAGCATTGTTGGTAAATGTGCACGTAGCTCTAGTCTGAGGTTTTGATGGTTGTGATTTCCATTAAATTGAAGAACAGGCATGGTGCATTGCAGGTTTTACTTTATGTACACAACTGCACGTTAAAGTTGTGTGATTCTAACATAAGAACATGAAATTGTAATATAAATGTAAATGTTTACTGTCAGTGACTGTAAGCTGGTCAATACATGTATAAATCCTCACAAGTATTAACCAGAATACAATAATATTCATGATATTGGACCTTTAATAGTCAGTTGCAGGTATTTTATTTGTTACATTTTTATCTTCAAATACTTGACTAATTATGACAGAACAAATACATGATAGTATTTGCCAAAACTAAAAGGAGCATTAAAAAAATCTTTAAAATCCATCTAATTACAATATAAGGAAAATGTCTACAGATGCTCTCCATAAAATATCGAGTGATTTATAATAGGTTAATAAGTGCTGAAAATATATCTTCCATTTGATATAAAAGTAAAAAACATCTTGTACAGACTTGAATTACAAAACCACACACTATAGACATAGTTGCAAACAGTCCAGTGGGAAAGGGCTTAATTATAAAATAGGGAAGGTGGGGAGTGGTTCTGGGAAGGGCTTAGTTACATCAGGATGGGGCCTGTGTACCCCAAGAATTGATCCAGGGTGAGGCTCTGATAGATCAGGATGGGGCCTATTTGTCCCTAAAACTGATCCTGGGTGGGGCTTAGAGTGAGCCAGATGGATGATCAAGAATGTTGGCAAGTATGCAGCAGGTCTTGTTCTCAAAGCTGCACCAAATGCTTTTTTTGTTATACAAGATACGCCTTTCTGAACTTATTAACTTCTACACGAAGAAAATAACCTCTATTTTGAACATAATTAACAAATCATATGATGACATGAAGTTCATTGGTTAAGCAATGTCGGATGAAGACAAACAAAAGTTCTCACTCTGCAAGAGAAGACATGGTTGTTATGGAGTGTGCACTATGAGTTCAAACCAGGCTTCCTGAACAATGAGAAAACCCACAAAACAAATGCAGTTAAATACGGTTAGTAAACAACGTACAATGGCACCCACACCATTATATCCTGCACAGAATATAAGTAGTGTGTCAGCAGTCGAAACGTTAGTATTTACTGTTAAAAAACGTGATCAGCCAAGAATGACAAAAAGAGACTGGAGAGCTACTGGGAAAATAAAATGGTGGTTCTGTGGGAGGGGGGGAGGGAATAAGAGAGGATTTAGGCGGAGCCATTGTTCGATTTTTCACCTCGATAAGGCAGGTGAAGGAGGGGCAGATCTTCCCGTCATTAATGAAGGCATCGACCTCATGAGGTTTGAATCAGGGCGCTCAGTGGATCGGGAGCGGCAGTTGGTCCGCTCAAGTACAGGCCGTTGCTCTGTGGACCTGGATCTTTGATATGGGTGTCTATCTGCCGGTTCGCAATTCCTGAAATGTTAGTCAGAAAGCCGCTCAGTTGACCTTTCTTTATATGTAGGTAGGAGAGATGTATTAATAGTGTACATCTACCTGACCCAACACTGTTAATTCACTTTCAAAAAAGTAATACCAAGCACAGCAGCAAGATCTTTTTGCCCAATGCAACAATTCAATCATTTTCTTGTGTGCTGTTTACAAAGAATAATTAAGCGTTTGATAGCTTCAAAAATCTACCATTATTTTTCATCTTAATGGAGGTCATGGGACATGTTGTCGACACTTTGACTTCCCATTTCTTCTCCACAAGGCCCAAGCTGTTCTTGGTGGAGATATAATCCCTCCAGCATTTCTAGATCAATCATGTCAAAGAATATTAAACATTTTGGTGTTTGAGAATCTATAATATTGCTACACTAAAAAGATGTCAGCCAGCAAAGATCAACAGGTATGGAAATGGCTACTCTAAGCAGCCCTTGAGCTGTGATCATCTAAAGAACTGACCAATACTTTCTTTTGTTGCATTGGAGATAAGTGTGCTTAACATTACCATTTTTATATAACAAACAAATAGTGCAGGGCAAAGACACTTATCTCAATCTGACAATCAGGTTGCTTCTTCATATCTAAATTAGGTATAAAATAATGCAGAATATAAAGAGAATGTATTGCTTTTACAAGAGAACAACATGTCGTGAAGAATTTCCTTGGAGAAAAGTTTTCAGTCAATTATACAATTATCAATGCCTGACACTAGATCTATGGCAGGAAAACTATGAGGCCCAGACAGGAAGCCTGGCAATTCTGGCTCTGGGTAGAAGGATTGGTATGTTCAAGGGTGTAAGGACTGCTCTGTGCAAAAATTGGCTGATCTGCCTGTTTAAATAAGTAAGCAAAACTAAAAACCTTTACAAACTGTGTACTTGGGCTCCAGATATTGTACTTACTTACCACTAAGGGCTTATAGAGCTATACATGACAATGTCAATTAGCTCATTATAAATAAACAATAGTACAAAGTAGGAATGTACCGATACCAAGTACAGTACTTGGTACAAGTACAAGTAAGTATAGATACTTTTCCAGCTCCAAGACTGGACTAGATTATTATATGATTTTGTTTTTATAAATATATATATATAAAGGGATGCACCAATACCAGTTTTGCGAGTACAAGTACTGGTACTTGCCTAAGTACTTACAAGTACGAGTACTGATACATTTTTGGTTATTGTCATGTGACAGTTTTTCTAAAACAATATCAACTGATGATTTCAGGACAGTGGTGGAGCACCAGAGCCAGGCCCCAGCTGCAACCCTGGTAGTTCTCAGGAAAATGCCAAGTATCGCCACTGGTACTCAAAAAGTATAGGAGCATTTCTAGTACAAAATGTGTCCTCTGTGGTGATCAGCAAAATGTTCAGCAAAAATAGTAATTTAGTAACCTGGCCTTAAAGGTCAGAATATACAATTAAGACATGACAACATGGCATATGCTGAACTACAAGGTCCTCCTGAATCTTTCGCTCTGCCTATAAACCAGTGAATGAAGACAGAATAGTCCCATTATATATGAGTTAGGAAATGGTAGAGTTCATATATATTGATCAGAGCAATCAGATTCTGACAGTTCTAAAGAACAGAGCTTAACAATGAACACCTGTTTAAAAGGTGTTTATTGTTGTAAAGTGATATAAAAAGTCAAATACAGTATTTGCAGAGATCACAAATAGCAATACATTCTCTTTGAATAATAAAATATTTATAATACAAAAATATATAATTATTTGTAGCTTAAAGTGCACCCATGCTTACCATCAACTTCATAATCTGCTGCCATGATAGAAAGGCACAGGCGACTTCGACATTAACCCAAGGTCCTCCTTATATGCAAATCTCAACTTCTGCAAGGAAATAAAGAGTTGACACTCCCTCCTGCAACTCCCTACTGGTTCATCAATATGATGGGCAGTATGAGTGGCCAGCAGGATTCTGTGGATGGTGGGAAGGCTGATCTAGCTCTTTCCCTACAGAAGACAAAAATTGCATATTATAATGCCTAAGGTTTCATGCTCTCATGAAAATCAGTGCACCTGGGGGCACCTGCCTTTCACCCCTGAGTTTATGAAGCTGAAGGTGAGTACAGATGTACTTGTCAAGCTCAGATGGTTGAAAACCAGAAAGTTTTTTTTTGTGGCTTCAATCTAAGACATTTCCAGAAACAAGTGCAAGTCATCCCTTGTTATTCATCTCTATGCTGCACTTGATTTGTGACAGCATTTCTCAGGGACAATAGAAAATCAGTGGAGACAATCTCAAAACAGAAATAAGTTCTGCTAAGGTCAATTTTAGGACAGTTATTGAGGAACAACTTGCAAACGTTTTCAGGACACAGTCCCGTGAAACCTGCACCTGGGTTCAGTAATATTAAATGAGGCAATGTAAGAAGACAGTGCTGAATGGAGGTACATAAAGGCATAACTTGTGTTGATATTAACCTGCTACATCTAATTGATAACAATGAATTACCGTTACTTACCGTTAACATGTATAGCATACTGCACAGAAGCAAAATTGCAGAAAACCACACGGTAACACACACAAACACAATTTAATAACACAAGGACACCATTCTCAGCTTACGTATCTGAGTTATGAAAACCGAAAGGAGAGTTGGTGGAGAGAAAATATGTCCAGAGGAAATAAGTGAATATGTGGTTCAGCTTTATTAAATTTTTTTACTCCAGTTTTTTAAAACAGTCTTGATGCCTTCTACATAACTTAGCCTCTTTAAATTTGGCTAAGGAAACCATTTTTAGCACCAACTGCGAATTCAGAAGGAAGAAGCCTACCCGTTTCAGAGAATCATCTAGCACCACACACAGATTGGTATGAAGTATTGCTGTGCTGACACTTGGTTTGCAGTTTTAGAAATGGCTACTTTTTCATCTTTACCGGAATCCATCAAATAACTTTAAACTCCTTCTATAACTGAGAAAATCTAGTTTATGACTATAAAAAACAATTGCAAAGTTACTGCCTACGGCAGCCAATCAAATTCTTGACACCACATAAACCCTTGTTTGTTACAATGTGCGACAGCTCCACTGGTCCCAATTTCACAGCTCAAACCACACAAGAAACTGCAATTGGTTCCTGCAGGTGCCAAAGTAATGTCTGCACAGAGCATCACAAAACCAAAATAACCAAATTAACAGCTAAAGTGTAATTACAATCTTCACCAATATGGGCAATACCAGGATCTAATTATTATGCCAACAATAAAGGAACTTGTCTACAGAACTGTAACACAAGGCATTTTCTCACAGCTATTGAATCACATCATCATCATATTAAAAAATAAAGCAGTGCTGGGTAACTATTTTTTAGTAATTTTTAAAAAGGCAAAGTGTAATATGCAATAAGTCAAAGTACACCTATGACCAGGCTCTGGATATTCCGTGGCTGAAGGTACTGTGGAACAATACATTCACGGAGATTAAAGCCGATGTTCTGAAGTCATCCAAGTCATTCACTGAGCAGTTCCACTTCTCTGCTCCCCCCCTCCCAGAGCTACTGCCCTGTGTTTACATCAAAATTAGAAGGCTGCTGAGTCACAGCTGGGAAGGGGAACAGGGGGGCTGAGCTGCTGAGTCACAGCTGGAATGAGGAGCAGTGATAGATGAGTTGCTAAGAAAGCAACCTGGATAAATTCAGTGCTTTACTGTGAAATGTGAGGAATAATTGATCCACAGTATCTGCAGCTAAAGGTCAGTGGGAGCTTGTTGAAAAGCTAATTTACTGCCAATAAGAATATTTAAATATTACTGCCAATAAGAATATCTAAATAGTTGAATGCTCAGAGTCTGACCGCATCTATCAACGCTCATTTTTCTGCTCACTACACACTACAAACTCACTACAAACTGAAATCTTTTTGTTATGGGTCAACCTAATAGCTAAAATATAACCCTGGCTGTCGTGTAGTGATCATTTATGATGGCATGCTATTTGTGATATATGGTTTATTATGATGACGGACCATTGTTGTTGGACAGCTGCTGCTGGAGAGATCTAGGTCTAAAGATATTGCTCAACCACCACTATAGGCGTTTTTAATTCTACACACAGTTTAGCAGTGTCCATTTTGTTCATCATAAAACGTTTTACTGACTCAACGGCCAATCAGCAGGCAGTAGATATGACATTGGTAGACATGCTGGGGATGAAAAGGAGACACAACAATGACAGTGGCAGTTAAGTCTGGGGTCCTAGGCGGTTTGGGGAATCACCCACTACCCAACTAAATACAAGCTACTAGCGCTCTCTGCATGTAGATGTGGGCTTAAACTCAGAGTATTATGCTTAACTTCTCATAGTACAGAAAGAGTGTGCCAGCAAGCAAAAAGGTTGGGACTAACTTTCCTTCATTATGTCAATTTTACTAACTAACTGATGTCATTGTGCACTTTCCAACCTAGGTCAGCCCTTGCACTGCTGTTTACAGGGATACACATAAACTAGTACTGAGTACAATATGGAGGCTGTTATTGCCTATTATCCTTTTTAAAACATCCACTTTCTTGGATGTCTCTATGTTCCCTACCTTGTGCCTGAAGGGAGATATATATTTCCATGCAGCTGTATTTTAAAATAAAATTTCTGCTTCTTCTCCTATTTTTGTGCAGGTATACAGGTGCACTACAAACGCTTTAAGTAGGGTAAATAAATATGATTTCATAAATCAATACATTTAAAATACACAGTAAGTAGGTCACACCTTCCAAGACATTAGGAAAGCTACCACAGTATCTCTGTGCATTTCATATTACACTGTAGATGCTGTCATACGTTTAGGATGTTGTACCTGTTTGTGATCATTGGAATAGTTCACCATTGCTTGCCACACATGGCTCTCACAATTGAGACAATATGAAAGTACACAAAAATTTGGGAACAAAAATTGACAAGGCACATTTACCATCTTGAAAAAATGAGCAGAAAAGAGAACA